ATTTACTCATTAGATAGATAGCCAGATAGATAGATAGATCACTTTATTTATACACGGTAAATTCCACTCAGTCGTATACAAGCAAAATTGACCTACAAATGTACCACTTAAAACTATATAGTCATTATAAAATATATACAAAGATTGAAAGCCTAATCTAAACGAACTGAACTAACTTCTTATTAGAATGAAAATAAATGAAAATAAACGTATTGCTTTTCAGGGACGCCGTGTCATTAGTTCACTCAAAACTGAAGTTGCTTAGCTTCGTCTTAAACTCACCTAATGTTTTAAATACTCTAATATCAGTCGGAAGGCTATTCCACAACGCGGCACCGCTATAAGAGAAACTTTTACGAACATAATCGGTACGAAGTTGTGGAAGAGCCAGCCTCATTTCACTATTTCGCAATCTATAACTAGTAGTATCATTACGAAAGATGAATTTATTTGATAGTTAATCAGGTGTCTGTCCATTTAGAATTTTGAACATCACAACGGCTTTGGAAAAAAGCCTCTGATTCCTTAGGTTTTTCCAATGAAGTCTACGGAACAGGTCTAGGGCACTTGAATCATAAGGAGCGGACAACAATATACGAGCCGCACGGTTCTGCAGTTTCTGAAGGTTTTCGGGCAGAATTGTACTCACTTACTCATCTCAATAACATGCGTGGCTTTGCCTCCTATAGAGGGTACCAGCCACAAAATATCATATCTTTGGATCTACTTGACATAGTTCGTTGATTCAAACGGTTAAATGCTCCCCCTTTGAAAAAAATTTTTTTTTCTAAATTTGCATGCTGCGACGATCACACCTTTTAAAATAACGACAAGGAAATGCTTTCTTTTTTCATGCGCAATCCTGAAATTATTTTGAGATGTTGTTTTCTGTAGTTCTGCGAAACAAGGAAGAAGTAGTACCGATAAACATCCGGTAAAATTGGGTCAAGGTCGATATTCTATTGTTACCCTCACTTGCTTAAGCAGCTCCGTCCTGTTCCTGCCGATTAGCCACTAAGAGGGGAACCACGACGCAATTTTCCGCTTCCATTTCCGCTCTCAAAACATTTATAGGCTTATTCAGTTGAGGAACGAAAACGAACATAATCCAATAGTCTTCCCTATAACGACGATCCCTGGAACAATACCTCTTTCATCGCCTGCCATGGATTCTATTTGTAGTAAGCATGGTTCGACCGAAAACCGTGAGTCATGCCATGTCGTGGAAAACTTCTCTATCGAAACCGAAAGCGGACCTTTGAGCGCTAGTCTCCTTGAGACAAAAACGAACCAAATCTTCAAAGTACTGCAGTATTTGGGTCTTGTTGAAAGAGGTAGATGGAGAAGATTCGGGCGGGTTTTCATTCTGGCAATTGTCGTCATAACATGGATCCCACCAACTTTTCTGGCGATCTGCGTTAAGAAAAACCCAACTATGTCCTCACCAAGTGGCTTACCGACAATATTGTTACTCTCGGGCCTTGCTCTATCGCATCACTTCGGAGCTTTGTACGGATTCAAGCATCGTATAAGACTCAAAGGGAATATACGTTTGGCTATCGAACGAGCGAATTTCTGCCGAACATGCCTGATCGTGATCACGACGTTTGCAATGTTGACTTTGTCTTATCTCATTCTTCTTGTCTATTTGTACGTCACGCAATCAATTCGCCCTGTCCCGTGGCTTCAAATTGGCTGTATCTATCTCCTCGGCTACATTTACTGTGGTTCAATAGGCGTAGCTATGAACCTGGTATTTAGTGCGTCATGCGCTGCCATCAAAATCAGGATCATCGACTTTAAGGACAAGTTCAAAAACTGGTCCAAGGGACTTCGTGAAGCTCTTATCGAGTACGAAGAACTCTGCGAATACATGAACGAGGAAATCGAATCAACCAAATGGTGGCTATTGGCTAATATCGTCACTTTTGTTGTCAGCTGGCTAATCAATTTCCACTTGTGGAAAATTCTAGCAGGCGAAGGTCAAGGTAGTGTGGTAAGGTTAGTGTTTTACAACTGTTCGTGGAGCCAGCCTCTGCCAGCACCGAAGTTGCTCTTAAATGATGGACTCATCACTAGCTGTGAGATGCTTTTCTCCTCATTGGTCTTTTTCTTCTTCATGTCCCCACTCTACTGGGCTGCCATGGTAACTTTACAGTGTAACAGGTTCCGTGAATCGGTCAACGGCATTATTGCACAAACAGATGAGAGACCTCTCGGGAATTTCAATGTGACATCGCTCGATTTTTTCATTAACCGGGTGCAGATGTCCAGTAGCTTTGCTTTCAAACTATTCGGCATTAATGTTACTAAGGTGCTTTTATCAGTAACAGGTTTAATGACCACTGTGCAGGTCGTACTAGGTATCGTGACGAAAAAGTTGCTTCCTTCTTAGCATTTGAGCCTGCAGTGCAATTCAAAGTGTCTCAAACATGCGTGTTATGGAGCACAGCGGTCAAAAGGCTGCGGGTGCTTATGTGAAATGAATGAACTCATTGTTTCCTCGCTTTGGAGAGCTAGTACGTTTGATATCTTTCCCGCAACGATTGTCTTTTCGCTGGTTTATTTACTATTGTTTCTTTAATAAGACATTTTTAGCAAGAGGTTATTAATCGCTTGATTTCTAGATTGTCTAGAATACTTCTAAATTAAGTCGCACTCTGTTAGGGGAGAAGTTTGTGTGTTTTGGTTTCGGACGAAGTTTTAGTACTTTTACGGTCGCGCAGTTCAAGTTTTGATTTCTCCGGTTTTCAATCAAGTTTTTGTATTTTGCTCGTTCTTTGACTCGACTGGCTGACCTGTAAAGAATGATGAATGCATTCGTTCTATACAAATTATTAGTACTATTGTTCAAGCTATCGCCGAAATATTGTATTGTTGTCGTTCAATATAGAATATTACAGTTATTTTAAGGGTTTTTGTGGGTTTCGGTACTTATGTAATCGTTAACTTTTCATATTTAATAATTTTCGATTTATTCGAGTCTATTCAAGTTCTTTCGTTCTATTTAATCGAAAATATAAAAAACGCCACAGTAGTTTTTTAAATACTCAGCAAGTACATTTTAATTTGCTTTGACGCTTGTCTTCATTGTACACCTGCATTTCTGTACTATTGTTAACCATTACTATTGAAATTATATACTTCCACAATTAAGATAGATATTTTTAATTTCGGAGCTGTAAAACATTTCACTGTTGTAAATGGCCTAGAGTCTATTATACCCGCTTTTTTATTTTTTGAAACTTTTTCCGTTGTGGAAACAGATGGAATCTTTAAGTAGAAATCCCTCAACCTCAGAGACAATTTCCGCTTCTTCTGTGATATTATTCAAATATTGTAAATTACAGGACAATAGGGACGCGCGCTCGATAGTACATATAGGTATCTTAAGTGCTTTTGACCTCCAGTACGGGAGGGTTCCACCTGTGACGTCACAGGAAGGATGGCGCAATTCAAGATGGCGAGTGTTTCGAATTTAGAAGAGCTTTTACAAGGTGAAAATAGACTTTTGAGAAAAAACGAATTGTACCTTTGTTGTGCTTGATATATTTACTAATCAACTATGTGAAAAGAAAATGTACGATTCTTGGATTTACATGCCCTTTAAATCAGTACGTGATCTACTGCCTAGTATGTAGTCTGTAAGTAAAAGGTCACGCTGTGACGTAACAAAAACAACTCGCGTAGCGTGACATGGAAATACAGTTGACTATAATCAGATATGGGTCAGAAATGATCCTTTTCTTCGAGCTGTGACGATGGGTTTTTCTGCGTAATACTGGAATTTGTGGGGAACGCAACAACAAAGGAGGGGGGGGTGAATAGCTCTGTAGAGACAACTGTGGGAGCAGAAACTCGTCACGATTTCCTGGTACACGGAGATCCGCTTCGAGAAAACTTATACGGACGTCATAGACTAGACAACGTTTGGTTCCACGGTAACTGTATTCTACTTCATGCTTGTAAGCGACATGATCAGTAGCGTATTCAAAAGTGTAATCGGCACTCAGTCAAAAATGAAATAAAAAAAGCTTCACAATGTACTTCCTTGACTCTTTAAGAGCCGTTACCTCGTTGCGTTATAGTTCCACCGCTTCTGTCACGACTCCTCGCTATTGTTTTCACCGGAAGTGGAATTTCGGTTAAATACTGGTTTTCTCTTGAAAAGAAGTCGAATTAGTCAAAACGAATTGCAAATTCGTACTCTTAAACACATTTTACATAGTATAAGAAAAACATATATTTTTGGGTTAACATGCCTTTTAAGGGTAACAAGAATAATTATGAGCCAGGCTAGGGCTGTGTAATAAAATAAGGTTTCTCAGGCCAATAATTAACCGCAGTATTACTGTATTTCAGTTCCGAGGAATGTATAAGCATTGATGTGAGAGCTTTATTTAGTCCAATTATAGCAAAATAACGTCGAATTTCAGCCAATTAAATTTTATCCGATAACAGCCTGAAAGATAGTGGTAAGGGGCCTCAGAATGCATTTAAGTTATATTTTATGCAAGCGAGAGTTGTAGGAAAGTAAATAAGAAGAAGGCTTACCTTATTCCCAGATGGTGAAGTGTTCATCACGTATCCTGCGTTCTTCCTGCGCCTGATCGAGTCTTAGTCAAATGAACTGATGAATCCGCCTAGTCGTTTATTCTTCTTTGAGACTGTTCTCATCGTCGCCTTCAGGACTTTGAGGCCCTTTTCCATCTAGTTGAGTATTTCTGCGCACATCTACTTCTTGTTTTGAGGGGTCCACACAGGTGTTTTTGATCAAAGAAGAAGCGAAAGGAATGTAAAATTGGCGTCTTGCCTAACAATACAGACGCTATTTTGAATTATGGTAACCTATCCATACAATCAAGCTTAAGTGTCCGCCTTCATCCTACCGCTTACCCCAACATAGAGGACAGAAGCCTACTCTGAGGACAAAACGAAACCTGGTAGGGGAGGCAGGTGATAACACGTTTTATTACATCCATCTTGAAATCACTGTAATCTGATTGGCTCTAATTGGTGCGTTTTATTCACGAATTGCACCTTTTTTTTTTGCTATAAATGGCATCTTTTAACGCTTGACTGAGTTTTTGACACATGACGTCAAAGTCTTTCTGTTTTGCATACAAAATAAGATGTAAAAGAGTTTCCGGTTCCGCTTTTTATTTAAAAACCGGCTCAGCACTGCAGCAGTAAAATATTTGAATTGACCAAGTCCTGTATTTGGGCGATTTCAAAATGGATGTAATAAAGTGGTAATTGAACCTCGTGTCGTGCTTTTTTGGTCTGAAATCATACTTGTGATTTCAAATCGAACTCGCGCTGCGAGCTCGTACGATTTTGAAATCACGCCTATGATTTCAGCCCAAATTGCACTCCATTCAGTTCAATTACAATTATTAACCATGTTTGATGTACAACTTAATCAGAATGGAGTGAGTGAATTTAGGTCCATACGTTCTCCATGGTACATGATCTTCCGTGTTGTCAGCGGAACTAACCGGCCCATCGGCAAGAGCCTTTCTTCGCCCGCTGGAAAGTCTGAAGCCTTCTGAAACGCGAATCGGCGAGAGGTTCGCCCGAGGTCTGCCTTACGTTAGTGCCAGATCCCTGATAAACCTCTCCCTACTAGTCTCAATCTTCCCGCGGGCGGAAAAAACGCGTGCTGCAGCTCCAGTAATGAGGGTCTGCATGCTGGCTGGGACTAAAAGAGCTCGTAAACGCACACGAATTTCTGTTTTTAATACGTAAAAATTTATTTTCAATCCTACTCCAGTTTCATAAATTAGTTAATTATCTTAAAACCCAAACAAGCGACCGCCATAGACGGCATACCTCTTGATAAAAATTAACGATCTTAAGAGAAAGCAAGCACTAAAGTGTTATCTGTGATGGAGTTGAAATACGTAATATTTGTCGTTGCTGAACGCCTTTTTGAAAGGCGCTGGATTGTCCATTAGAACACTACAGCAGCTCGGTCTAGACCTGTTTTCTTCGTCTTCTAGGTCCCAGATGTCTACCATACCACAGCCAGCTCTGCAGAGAAAGAGACATTTTAATAAAATCATTGGTTAAATTCATTTTCAATTGAGTTTAGAGCAGTAATTGAGGGTCGAAAACCCAACACCAGAGTTATCCCTAATACCAATCATAGCAAAGGTTTGTCTTATCATTAGCCAACGAAACGTCAAAGTGAAAACCAGTAAAGTGCTTCAGTAAACCGCGGGAAAACGCGAACGACCAACGCGCGATTCATTTAAGTCTTGTATCTGATTGGTTGAGAGGATTGCACAAGTTTTCTGGACTAATCACATAGCAAAGTGATGCAAAACCAAAGTAATTCTGGATTACTTTCAACACTCCATTGAAAATTGCTCTAAAAAGGAAAGGCAGGTTCGCAATGGATTGCAATCTAACCAGATCTACTTACTTAGGTCTTCCTCTGCACCACTGAACGTCAACAACAACATGGGTAACTTTCATGGAATTCAGAGTTTGCCAGACAACAGCTGGCGGCTTCCGGCTGAAAATCTGATACACTTTGTGAGTTCTTTCTCTACAAGAAAATCGACGAAAGTGGATTGAGGGTTTCATTTGGAAGGTTCTGTGGCCATAATTTGAGGAATTTACAAAAGTATACATTTCTGTTTACATTCTTGCAATATGTGAAAGCAGACCATACTGAAAATGTAACATGGTAAACTTGCATGCAATAAGGAAGTATGGAAGGGAAGATCTGAGTAAAATATGACGCCAGCCGGAAAATTTCATATTAGTATATACTAAAACAGTGGATAGCGTTGAAGGCTAGTCAAACTCCGAATATCCTTTGCTATTTACCTCCGAGCAACTCGAGAAAAAATGGCGTCCCGGTTTGCATCCGTGACAAGCGAAGAAATCACTCAAATCAACGACGGTGGTGTATATTATCTCACTGTTTTAGTATATACTAAAACAACTATTCACCTCAGTGTCGGTGGTTAGTGGTGGATATTTACCACTAACCACCGACACTGAGGTGAATAGTTGTTAACTATACACTATTTCTATTCTTAATGCGAACGATTTGTGTTCTCCTCTGTGCGGCAGAGAAATATTTTTTAAAATTTGTTAAGTTCACTTTAAGGATCTCGATTTTAGCGCACAGTCAGTCCAGTACCAAGATTTTAAATGCTTTTAACTATTTTTACGTTTTAAACGCTGTAGTCAATTCACTTAGAGATAAATAATGTAAATCGTTTTTATTATTCTTACTGTATATTTTGTAGAGTGATTTTAAGGGACACTATTCTTATTGTTATTGTAAGGATATGATATGATATGATATGATATGATATGATATGATATGATATGATATGATATGATATGATATGATATGATATGATATGATATGATGGTTGGTTAAGTTAAAGTCAGCTTACAAGCCAGAGGATCCAAGATTGTAAAGGTTTTGTATCATAAGGAAACGAGGAGTTTTGCCACTCTCCCCCGCCCCCTCTCCCCCTGAATGGGATGCCACTCCATCATAGGCAATCCTCGGCCTTTCATCAGGTTTCTCTGATAGTTTATCGGTTTATGAGAGAAAGTGTCTTACTGCAGAACACAACACAACTCCCCAGATCCAATTGTTAATTCTCCCCTCGAACTTCTGCACATTTTCTTAAAAAATAGTTATGAGAATTTAGTGTTAGCTCATGATAACAACTTCTCCCTGCTAAGTTTGAGTGTACTCATTATCTGTCTGCGAGAAGTTACAAGTTAATCACTTGTAGGAGTTGAAAGGTGAATACGAAAGATGGTCATTTTTGAGCTTGGTCGTAAAATACAGAAATATGTTATTTGTCTTGTCACCAGCTTAGGACGAAGAAAAATATAGAGTCTTATGAAAGGGAATTCCCAGACCTCCAATACTTTACCATAAATGTTGGATAGCGCTCTCCATCGGATAGATCTCAGTCCAGCGGATAAGTAATTACAGAAAACACTACGCTATCCCCTAAAAAGCAGATTACCCTGAGGATAGCATTATCCAGCCTTCGAACAAACAGGGCCAGGTCACCAGAGAATTTCATTAACGCATATGACCATGTCAACCATGTGGACACATCATGTACTCAAAAATGAGGTTGCCTAGGGTCAACATGGAGACTCAGATTAACATCGTTATTGTAGGTGCGAGAATGTTACCTAATGCCAACGTCTTCATAGTGAGGATGGTTAACAATAGCTCGTCCGGTGCACAGTTTGACGGTAGCCATGGTTGGCATGGCACCAGCAAACACAGCAGCTACATGACGAAACAAAAAGCATTCTCTCATTAACATAAATACACTTTCCATTCATTTGGGTCCGGAAAAACTGAAAGAACAGGTTCTCGCCGGTGTAAAAGGATAGCGAGTGTGCACGTTAGTTGCACCGAATCGCCTCTTTCTAAAACCTTGAAGATCGGAATAATTTTAAATTTTCGTCTGCAGTACTTAGTACTCAAGAATTCCGCGCCACTCGTGAATATTCCATACAGGAACAAAATACCTCTGTCATGAGCCTTACCCCGGCAAATTGAATTTAACCCCCCTCAATCACGGACGGGGAAAGGGGAGTCCATGTATTTGTCTATTTATGGACGGAAAGTTTAGAGGTTGTGCACAAGATAATTGCTAATAACTACATTGTAGGTGACGTGATTTATAAGTAGGAAGCGACAGCAAGTTTTAGATTGCAGTCCATACACTCAATGAAGCTGTCAACGTTAAGCTCAGCTTTACTCTTAATAGAGCCAATTTCAGTTTAGAACAAGTTCCCAGAAGAAACAAGTTGAGTTTAATCTGCAATTCAAAAACTGGTCTTCTGTATCGCACCCCTTAAGGAGAAAGTGTTGTGCAAACAGGTTTTGAAGTTCTCCATCAATCACAGAAATGGTATTAATGTGTCACCAAAATGTATTTTCTCTCTCCCACCCCAGCTCCCTTGAAAACATACCAACACAAAACAAACACAAACCAAACACAAAACAAAAACGAAAAAAGAAACAAAACAAAAACAAAAACAAAACAAGAAACCACAGAGTTGATCACATTCATTGTACACGTAATCGTACACTTACTTCGAGGTGTCTTGGTGTTGATCCACTCTACCTGTAATGATATAATTCGAGATTACAAACTCTCCAACATCAAAAATAGCGGAATTGGTTATGTAGAAAAATTACAAGAGCAGAATACAGTGTTTCTGCGCAATTTGTTCTTCCACATTTGTGTTAGTTGTGCATATTTTAAGGTAAAACAACATTGGCATTTAAATTCTATATTCGGTTTTGGATTTAACAGATTATTTGGTGCGAGATTTGATGTTATTCACTGAATGGCTCAAGCATATTCTGGGAAAAATCCGAAAGTTCGCCATGGGAGTCGAACCGATGACCTTCCAATTGGTACCTAGGATGCTCTACCAGTGAACTATAGTAGACAAGAGGCCGGCTTGGCCGTTTAACTAGGTCCATGGTGAAAAAATTCCTGCATACTGTTAGGACAGGAATGTCAAATGTGATGGTTTTACACAATGATGTTGTCAATGAAGAAGGTAAATTGCGGTTATCGAAGTGAAAGTTGACGTTATTCAGTGAATGAAAAAGGCATAATCAATGAAAAAAGAAAAAAAAAACTCAGAGTACTTTCAATAGGAGTCGATCTCAGTTATTTTTTATGCGGTTTATAGTTGACAAAGTTATCCTTTCCTTGTAGGCGAGTGAGTGAGTAGAGGTCTTTACTTACCAGTGCCTCTTGTTCTGGGTTGTTGTACTCCCCTTGTGTCGCCTGAGTTGAAATTAGGTAACATGGACATTTTTTTACTGACTACAAATAAAAGTAATTCTGAACTTCTTTGGCCGTGACCAAGCATTTTATATCAACAAATCTTTGAAAGACATGCGCAAAGAACAATGTTATAACCTCTTCGACTCGGCCGTCTCCCGAATACTGTGCATAAAATCCATCATCTTCCACCATGCAAGAATATGAGCACATACAATTTTAGAAACCAGCGCAATTTTACTTTGCCACAAATGCGCACTAATCGTCACACGAACAAATTTGATCCATCCGTGTCCAATCCTTCGAACTTTGCCGGTGTAGTTTTTTTTTTTTATGATAATTATTTTTTTATTTCAGATTACATGAAATCATTACTTTGTAAATGTGTGTATAACTTAAACCTTTTGAAAATTACATGCAATTCTGTCTTAGAAGGCTACGAATTTGAATATTTTAATAAACTATCTATCGATCTCTCTATCTTTCTATCAATCACTGATTATGTGGTATGGTATGCGAACCCTTTCACCCCCGAGGGTGACTGGTACCTAACTTCTCCCCACTATATCAACAGTGAATCAAACATTTAGGTCAAGAGAATGAAGCAAATGATCGCCATCTGAAGAAGCCGTTCATTTTTCCGAAAATTCTCCTTTTTATGACCTTAGCAATTGTATAAAGAACAGTATGGAGAAAGGAAAGCACCAAAACGACATCGCATCCAAACGCTGATTGCAGAAGTTTGCGAAAATTCTTACTTAAGTTTTTCAGAGACAGTAAATAATATTTAATAATAATAATAATAATAATAATAATAATAATAATAATAATAATAAGTACTCACAAACTGAGTTTGTAGGTTCATGATTCCTTGAACAGACATGGC